TATAAAAGACATTCAAGAAAATGAATTGTGAAAATGATGCCTAGTTTTTCTAAGAATCTTAAGGAAATAATTGCTTGCACTATCCATCTGAGCATTTTCTCTATAAATATCCTATATTACATTCCACACTTTACTCAACGTTTTCATTATTAACTTATTAAAAAATTAAAAATTTTATATATCAATGATAAATACAACTAGTCTATGAATTAATAAAAAATATAGTTTTATAAATCAAATTTAAAAAACTTTCGAAATAAAAAATAAGAATTTATATTTGTATTACAATATGTTTCTCCACCCCTAACACATGGTTGTTTGTTTCTTAGTGTTGCATGATTATCCTAATTATGTTCTTTTAGGGCATACACGGACACATTCTATTTTATGAAAGGGAGCGAATGACTTATTTGGTGTCATTTTAAAATAATTTTTAGTAAACTAAATTGAAGGTAAATTATTTACCAAAACTTACTATACAAATATTTTTACTATGCACTATTCTAATATATTTAATTAATATTTTATAAAATTAATAATAAAATGATAAAATGTTAAAAATAAATAAATATTAACAAAATTTAAATTATTATAATTTTTTAAATCTAAATAAATATTGTTTTAACAATTTATCATAAATATAAATGTATAAAAAATAAGTTAATATTATATTTTATTTTAAAATTTCACTTATTAATTTATTAATATAAAATTAGTAGTATCCTCATTAAAACTACTATTTCTCTCCTACATCGAATTTTAAAATTTTTTCATCAAAAAAAAAAAATAATTTTAGCTACTCATTTCACATTTATGGAAAATTAAAGCATGCTTTTCACTGCAAAATAAAATGAATCACTTCTTGCCGGTTTGAAACAAATTAAAATTATGATCACATACCCACATACCTAAAAGGAGATATTTTGCAAGAACAAAAAAAAAAATAAAAATCAACAGTCAACTCTACATGCATAATGAGGTGCACCTGATATCTCATGAGAAAATGGAGGATTGAGCTTCAACTCCCCCCCAAGTTTCCTTGATGTTATCAGGCCCGCTCTCGAGCGTAACTGTCGCAGGCAAGGTACGCGTAACCTTGTTTCCAGAACCGCATCACCGTTCCCCATCTTCTCCAGTTCAAACTGACCCATCAAATCCCCTTGGCAACCAAACGACACATAAAGAAATGTTTTAAAAATAATAATAAGTTTATAAATATAAGAAACAACAGAACAAGCCATTGAGAGATAACGAGAAGATGAAGAAAATATAAAAACCTTTGAACTGAAGTTTTGAGGGGAACCAAGCGGAGAAGAGCGAAGGATGTTGAGAAAAGCGATTGGCATCGTCGGGTGTAGAAAATGAAAAACTTAATAGTGGAAGTTTAGATTGTCAAGATCATTGAAGAAAAATGGCCGGGGGGGGGGTTATTCTTTTTGGTGTTTCAAATTATCAGATTTCATGTTGGGGCTTGGAGGGAAACGGTAAGAGGAGAAAGTGAAACGATGGAGGAGATAGATTTTCTTCACATCTCTTGGGTGAGGCGGAAGGCAGAAATATGAAATGATGGAGGAGATAGATTTTCTTCACATCTCTAGGGTGAGGCGGAAGGCAGAAAGATGGCGTGTTCGAGATGAAGAGCAGCGTGAGGAAAAGAAGATGTTGTGTTCAGGTTTGCAATGATTTCAGCTATAAATGTAGCCAAAGTCTAAGTGGAAAGTGCCACGATTTTTGAGAAAAAATAAAGAGAAGATGGCATTTCAAATTATCAGAGATTTCAATTTTGGGGGCAACAGAGGAGAGCCTTTTCGTCCTTTTTTTTCTTTTTCTTTTATGCGTCGATTTTTCCTAGTGCATGAGAAATTGTCAGATGCATTAAATATATATAGAGAGAGAGTAAAAGCAAGGTTTATTGCAGTGTTTTCTATACACCATTCACTGCTTGATAGTGACCACTTTTTTTCTAAAAAAATATATTTTATTTCCTTCTCTTTATCTTCTCTTCTCTCTTCAAGAAAGTTACCGCTGTAAGTATATACAATCTATACGTACAAATGTACTGTTTGTAAAAACCTGAGCATTACCAATTACAATTATTATGACTTCCACTCTTCCTCCTCTCTGCTATCCTACTGCTGATATTTTATTTCCTTCAAAAGTAGTTGAAATTTATAGCATATAAAGAAGAAGATAAAAATAACATGAAAGAACTAAAGTTTTATCCGAAAATATAAGAATAAAATATATTTCAGAATAATAAAAAAGATTCAAGGAAAAAAAGTGCATAAACACATGATTGAAACTCTAAAAGTTACTACCAACTAAAAAACATGGAACAACATTGAGCAAAAAATCCCTCTCAGATGAGATTGTTTAAAAACCCAAAATAATTTTGTACAGATACTCCAATGAATCCTTCATTGACTAGAAATAGTAAGATAAAAAAAAATTTCGAGGGGAGTTGACCTTTATCCTAGAGCCACACAAAAATATTGGAAAACAAATCAATAAGATTAATAATAAACCACATATTTTACAGTTTACTTCAACTATAATTTGAGGACCAAAAAGCAAGATCACCAAGAGAGCAATTGATAGTCAATTGCTAGTCAACATAATTATAAATAACATAAGATTATTTAGGTAATTATATTAGATTACTTAAATAATTATGTATTACATGATTGTTTGTATTAAATGGTTATCCTATTATGTTCTTTGATGACACCGCATAAAATCGATCAAAGAAATAGGTAAATCATCAATCTTGCAATATGAGATAGAAGATAAAGAAAAAAAGGAAATATGGGGTGGGAGGAAGATCAATTCTTTAAGAACCAAATCGCTGCATGTTAGTGCTGGATTACCTTTTGATGTCTAGCAGATATCTCAGCAACTGCAGCTTGCAATAGACCTCGCATGTCTTCCAAAACCTGAAATGTGAACACCATAACATGATGGCAACACCTTAGACATTCTTCACAGCCACATGATGTACATAGTAAATCTATATATGTTATGAAGTGAACCAAAAATTACAACATGATTCTGGTCCAATTAGTAACAATAACAATTGGAAGAATAAATTTTGACAAACATAAAATGAATCCAGTAGGTAAATATCAAGAAAAGATGCCACAACAATTCAACTTTCATCGTTTAGGGAATATGTTTCTACTGTATCTTAGAGTTGTTTGAGGTTGTAAGATGGATTTGAAAAACAATTTGAAAAAGTAGGTGCATAAATTTGAAGAAACATAAAGTGAAACAAGTAGGAAACTACCAAGAAAAGATGCCACAGCAATACAACTTTCATCATGTACAGGAATATAATCATTTTCAACTGTATGTTAGAGTTGTTTGTAGTTGTAAGACGGATTTGAGTTTTTTTAAAAAGTAAAAATGTATGAAAAAATACATGCATGAATAAACACATACAAGCAGACAAAAGATTCAATTTTCATCTTTCAAAAGAACATTAAATTTCAACTTTTTTCGAAAGTTAAAAAATGAAAGTCTAATCATCTGCTCAACGACCACAAATAAAATGATAAATGCAGAGTTACTCATATGCATAAACACATGCAAGATGACATACAGGGTTGGCGTAATCCAACAGCTTAACTTTGAATGAATGGTCTCATTCAAGTCCTGTAATTATAAAAAACTAATAATGCTACAGTAAATTAGCATCTGAATGAGCATAACTATCTAATACCTGTTCCTTCTCCAAAAGCGACTGCTGTAATGCCTCGAGAGCATGTTCTTTAGGTTGCAGTGAGACGCAGTTCTTCAATGTTGTCCCGGAATCTGTATGAAAATGGTATGACTAAAATGCCAAAGCAAATATTTTTTTTCAAAAAAATAAAGCATATAATAAAAAAGATCACATTCTAGAAGAGAATATTGAAACAGCTTTATCAGAGCATGACTAAGACATGGAAATCGTAGCAGTGAAAGCATCAACCCAAGTTCTAGAGCAGGATTGAGACAAAATCAATAAGATGTCCACTTAAAGAACCATTATCAATCACACGTTTGAGGTTTTACTTATTGTTTCTGCTTCTTACTTGCTGCCTCTCTACATCCATTGCTTTCAATGCTTCATTTGCTTGCTGCCGTGTGCGCTCCAGCTCTTGCTGCAGAGTGGACTGTTGAGATGATGCTCGTTCAGCTGCTTCGTTCACTTCATGAAATCGGGCCTCAAGATCATCTTTTTCCTAGAATGAAAGTCTCCAAAAAATAATTAAACTATATTCATATACGGTTTTAAACATAATATAGATAACATGCTTTTATATGTTCATTTTTAATGTTCAGCGACAGAAACATGGTGGTTTATTACTTTCATTCAACTAATTAAGGCTCTTTCAAAAATGTCAATAGGAACCCAATCACAAATGAGAATATTCCAATCTAGCCATTAAGTTAAAAACCAGAAAACCAACATAAACGTCAACATTGTCCAGACAAGTTCATTATGGTAATTTACCTCAAAATAGAACAAGATATTCCATGGGTAATTTAAAATAGCTATGAAGTGCAAATAAGGGAAAAAACTAGAGTTAGAATTCACCTTTTGAATGTCTTGAATGCGCTGTCTTGCTTGTTTGTGAAGCCTGCTAAATTTTGAGTCAAGATCAGCATACTTATCTTCACGCTCTATTATTTCTTGATCCAATTTCTGTTGAGCTACACGAAGAACATCATCATATTCAGATGTGAGAGAGTAAATACTTCCTGATGAACTTCATATGTTCGGAGGAAATAAACTGTGGTCAAGAAAGGTAAACTAAGTGATGGTCCTTCTTTTAGGGAAGTGACAAGACTAAAAGTCCTCAAACATCCAATGCCAGCCATGATTGTCAAATTAAGTTTTGTTTGAGGAGGATGCATCATTATTAGCATATAAAGTAAATCCTCCATTGCATATCAAAAGAAAGTAACATTTCACTATTAAATTGTTGGGCATCAAACCTTCAGCAAGTTTGGTAGATAGTTCCTGGACTTTAGCATCTGCCTCCGGGTGTGCCTCTCGAAGATGCTTCAGAGCCTCCTCTGCTGCAGTTCGTGTTTGTTTTTCTTCCTGAAGCTCCCTACTCAAAGATTCTACCTTTTCAAGGAGATCTTTCACCTCCACAGAGTCACCTCTTTCCTCCCCACCTGCCACACTTTTTGGGAGAGCCCTAGTATGTTCTGCTTGAAGATTTTTCAATCCATTAAACTGATACTTCAACACCTCATTCTGAAGTTTCAGTTCAACCACCAATTGTAATAGCTGATCATGACTCCCTTCTGAATATGGAATGCTGTCATTTAGTCCATTTTCTTTGGCCCAAGTTCCATTCTTTATGTGGTCAAGGTACGCGTAATGCTTGTCTCCACAACCATCTCACCATTCTCCATCTTGCCCACTTCACCCCCATATCCACCATTGTCCCATCAAATCTAATCCCCTTCTAAACACCTAACAACACAAAAAGAAATTTTAAATTTATTATAAGCCAATAAATATAAGAAACAACAAAACAAGAACTGAGAAGACAAAGAAAAACAGAAACCTTTGAATTGAAGTTTCGATGGGAACAATTTATTTGAAAAGCGAAGGATGTTGAGAAAAGGGATTGACATCATCAGTGTAAAAGTGAAGGTTTTAATGGTGGAAGTTTAGAGCGTCAAGATTATTCAAGATAAATGGTCGGGGGCCCGGCAGAGATGTTCTTCCATTATATCAAATTATCAGGCTTGGAGGTGAATGAATCAGAGAAGAGAGAGTGAAAGAGGCAAGGGGGTTAGATTTTCTTTATCCTTTGCCGGTGGCAGTGAGCAGATGAGGCAGGAGGCAGAAGATGGTGTGTTCGAGATGAAGAGCCCAGTGAAGAAAAGAAGATGGCGTGTTCAAGTTGGTGAATGATTTCAACTATAAATGGAGCCAAAGTCAAGTAGACAGTGGCGTGATTTTTGAGAAAAAAAATAAAGAGAAGAGAATTTTGTAGGGGACGGAGGAGAGAAGAGAGTCTTTTCTTCTTTTCTCTTTTTTTAATGAGTGTCAGTTCTTCCTCTTTGACAGGCCAGGTACAGGAGAAATTGTCAGATGCTATAAATGTCTCCAAACAGTAGGCTTATTGTCATCTGTCAGGGTTTGCCAGTTGTATTCTGTTTATACATATATTTTTTATTTTTTAAAAAATTATTAACGTACTAAAATAAGGAAAGAATAGAACCAATGCTGACATTTTTTCTTTTCTTTCCCTCTCATTTTTCGCTTCACTGAAGAATAAAACCAAAGGAATGGATGACTTTACCGCTGATGTTCTACATACCAACCATGAAGAGTTAGACAAAGTTAATTTACATGAAGAGTTAGACAAACATACAATCGGCAGATGATGCTATGAATTTTTAGCAACAGTAGACGTTGACCTGACATATTCTTCTGAGAAGTTGGTAAACTTGCATGTGCTTTTGCTGCATCTATTGGTTTGGAATAATGATCTAGAAGCAATGCCACTGGTGATAGCTTTAGCTTCGAAAAATCCATCGAGATGGTACTAGTATTTAAACTTTTATCTGGAATTTTAGATTCTAAATTACAAGAGTTTGGCAGATTCTAGGATACACCCAGAGCACAGCTTGAAATATGAAAATATCTTCATGCAGACAGTAGAAAGAACTATTTGTTATAATGGAAGATAGTTGAAGACTATGCAAAGTTTTTAAGACATTCTCAAGAACAGTTCCTAGAAATCAAGATGCAATTAGCTGACTTATAAAGATTATTTTCATATTTCAAAGATAAGAAAAGTAAGTTGTAAATAACTTTTTCTATAGACCAAGAGTTTGCATAATAACAATGATACTTTTACTTTCTCATCTTTCACTTTTGTCTTGGATGCTCTTGTTGACAGGCAAAAAGAACATGGTAATGGAGCTCTCAGTAAATGATCAGTTGTTTGACAGTTGTGTGACATCGAAAAAGCAGACAAACCTTACAACATGGACATATTAAAAGGATGCTGGAGAAGCTTTCTCAAGAGAGCTATATCTTGAGAAAAAATTATCAGTGTTTAGGCAAAATGAAGAATAATTAAAATTAAAGTTGCATTACATTGAACAGGTGGCTTTTCGCATGGAAGAAGCAACAGAAGTTGTTTGGGGAAGTTTTTAGAGGCAGAAAATGCTATGGAGGTGCTGATAGGTATTTTAAATGAACTACTTTGGTTAGCTTCATATTGTTTAGTTTAATTTCTGCTTCTCATACATTTCTCATTGCACAAAAGACATGAAGAAGGATATCTTGCAGCCCAAATGGTGCTACCTATTATCTTTATAAAATTAATAAAAAAAAATGTGCTTTGATAAAGTATGAAAGAAAAAGAAACAAATAAGCAAATAGAAGATTTAAGTGGACAGTATAGTAAGAAGATACTTGAATGCCAAAAGGATTACTTAAAAGAGAATCCTAAATTCCTATAATGAGTTGTAAATTGAATTCCTGGGTGAGCAGCAATGTGATCCTATGTTTTTGGTTTCACTACATATGTTTTTGGTTAAAGCATGTTTTGAAGAAGATCTTTAAATGATTTTCACTCATATGCTTGTCATAAGGAAATTATCATTGTCAATGATGTGTCATTCATAATGATGGCTTCTGCTACTAATTCAGGTTTTGAGGCCTATTAAGTTGGTGGATGTGTGAGGGATTTGCTGCTAAAAAAGGTGCCAAAAGATTTTGATGTGATTACCACTGCTAATCTTAAGCAGGTTTTGTGCCACGGTTCACACAACATTCTTCCTCCTCCTACCCCCTACTTCTCTCATCTTAATATAATTGGTAATGCAGTTTGTATCCATTGTAATTAAATGGTTTTAATGTAATTTTGTCATAGATCAAGAAGCAGTTTCATCACTCTCTCATTGTGGGAAGACGATTTCCTATGTGCAGAGTAAGAATAAAGGATTCTGTAGTTGAGGTGAGTTTGTGGAATTTATTATTTGTTTCTTGTTATTTGGGTGATTACCAATGGAAGAATTGTCCAAATTGATGGACCAACTATCCTTTCTTGAATTAAGAATACGGTTCTCTTTTTTCGCAACTCTTTCATGATAGGTATCCAGTTTTGATACAGTAGCGCAGAATACCAAAAGAAAAGACAATGTTATTTTATCTCAACTGCCTAGAGGCTGTGATGAAAAAGACTTCATCCGCTGGAAGAACAGCATGCACAGGGACTTCACAATTAATAGGTATTATTTATGTGTATTTGTATCTCCCATATCTTTTTTTCTTTATTTGCTTCTTCTAACAGAAACACGTTTATCTCTATGTTTATTCTTAAATCTGATCCCAAACTTCTTCCAATGCCTCTAACGTGGTTGAGGATTGTGTTTTTCGAGCCAGTTTATTCTTTGATCCCTTTTCGAATAAAATCTATGACTACACCAATGGGATGGCAGACATAAAGTCTTTAAAGGTTTCTCCCTTAGCTTGTATGATTCTCCTTGCTGCTTGAAGATAACTGCTGCTTTTCTTGTTTTGACCTGTTGTTTGATGATTTGGTTTCAGCTCCAGACACTTGTACCTGCTCATTTTTCATTCAAAGAGGATTGTGGTAGGTGCTTGTATGTGTGTGCGTGTGTGTACGTTTTTTTTTTCTTCTGTTACAGTGAGCCCGTGGGCTTTTTTTTTCACATGTCACGGTAAGCCCATGGTATTTGATAGAGTGGATAAATTTAACATCACACATAACTGAACACTTTGTGTGAAATTCTGGTCATGAAGCAAGGATTCTGCGAGGCTTAAGGATTGCAGCTCGTCTGGGTTTGTCACTCTCGAAGGATATTGAGTCTGCAATACATGATCTTTCATCTTCGATTGAGAGTTTGGGCCAGGTACTATCGCCTAGCTGACTGGTTTTTGTTGTTTTAGGTTGTTGGGTACCTTTGATTTTTATCTTTGCATTCCCCTCCCAATAGCATGCTTTGTTGCAAAAAATTGCACGTTTCATGTTCATACTGTATATATTGGTGGATGCTTCTTATTGTGGAGTAGAAGAATTAGATCTATCATCTTTTCCCAAGCTCTTGCCAAAACAAGTTCTGTTTGTTTTTAGTTCAGGATAATGATGGAGTTGAACTATATGCTTTCTTATGGAGCTGCTGCACCTTCTATCAATTTGCTTCAAAGATTCAACTTACTTGGGACTTTTCTTCCAATTAATATTTGTGGTTTTCTTCATTGTGATTCTGACTCACTCTTCAATGCAATCATATATGGGTTCATTTTCACTTGTTTAAAATCAAAATTCACTAAATGTCTTACAAGACATTGGTGAGTAGAAGCTAAGTGATTCTATCATTTAAATTCCAGTCAAAAATGAAATATTTATCTCACCGAGAAGCGGTAATTCTTGAGCACATCACAGTGCACTTAAAGCTAAAATCGAAAAGTCTAGAGGTAATTTTGTGAGAGGAGAGAATGTAGTTCCTAATTTTCATTGCTAAAAGGAATAGAGAATAAGTACGTGAAACTTCTAATGTTCTCAATATGAAACTAAACTAATTGTTGATTCTAAACTACACATGATGAATTTAATTTTGTGTGAATTTAGTCATTTTGTGGTTATTTAGAGATATTCAATGTTGCAAATAGATCTGAACTAATGGGTAGTAGATTAAGAATTCATAAATTGAATCCCTCCCGTTGCTTTAGTATTGGATACTGATGTTTCATTTTTTATGATGGAAATCAGTTTTCAGTTCCAAATTTGATTGGTATGAGGCTTAGTTGTGTGTTATTTATTGGTTGAAGTTGCATTTTGTGTTTAGTGCCTAACTGTTTCACCTTTTGCTTGTTTTGCTTTGAATTTTTCTTTCCCATTTATCCTTTCAGAGGTTGGTATGTGGAATTCATAACCAAGAAAGTTTTAAATGAGGAAAGAATAAAACCAAAGCTGACATTTATTCTTTTCTTTCCCTATGTTTTTTGTTTCATTGAAGAATAAAACCACAGGAATGGATGACTTAACCGTTGGTGTTCTATATACCAACCATGAAGAGTTAGACAAAGTTAATTTACATGAAGAGGTACAAAAAAATGGTATGAAAATGCAGCCTGCAGATGATGCTATGAAATTTTTAGCAGCAGTAGACTTCGACCTATCATATTCTTCTGAGAAGTTGGTAAACTTGCATTTGCTTTTGATGCATCTATTGGTTTGGAATAATGATCTAGAAGCAATGGCCATGGGTGATAGCCTTAGCTTGGAAATATCAGTTGAGAAGGCACTAGTATTTGATCTTTTATCTGGAATTTTAGATTCTGAGTTACAAGAGTTTAGCAGATTCTTGGATGCACTCAGAGCACATATATTTTATGCCAGTCATAAGATATCTTCATGCAGACACTCGAAAGAGCTATTTGTTATAATGGAAGAAACTTTGCATGATTCTGAAGAGTCATTAAGACATTCTCAAGAGCAGTTCTTGGAAATCAAGATGCAATTGGCTGAATTACAAAGATCATTTTCATATTTCAAGGACGAGAAAAGTAAGTTGTAAATTATTTTTTCTATGGACCATGAGTTTGCATAATAACTATGATATTTTTACTTTCTGATTTTTCACTTTTGCCATGGATGTTCTTGTTGACAGGAAAAAAGGACGAGGTAGTGGAGCTCTCAGGAAATGATCAACTGTTTGACAGTTGTGCGACATGGAAAAAGCAGACTACCTTACAACATAGACATGTTCTAAGGACTCTGGAGAAGTCTTTCTCAATGAAGAACAATTGTTAGTGCTTAGGCAAAATGAAGAACAATTGAAATTAAAGTTGCATTACACTGAACAGGTGGCTTTTCACATGGAAGAAACAGCAGATGTTGTTTGGGGAAGGTTTTTAGAGGCAGAAAATGCTGCAGAGGTGCTGATGGGTATTTCAAAGGAACTACTTGGCCGACTTCATACTGCTCAGTTTCATTTATATGGTTCAATGCAACGAAAGTTCAACTCAAATCTAAACTTAAAGATTGCATTGAAGAGCTAAGTGCTAGAGATGTTATGCTACACAAGCTTGGAAGAAGAAATGAAAAACTTGAGAGCAACAATGCACAACATGGTACCATAATTTCAAAAGTTCTGATCTTAAAAGGAAAAAGTAAAATCACTTGAGGAACAACTGAAAGATACTGAATTCCAGCTGGAGAGTGCAAATTCCTTCTATAAAACAAGCCAGGAGCAGCTTGATGAGGCAGAAAACATTATCGAGGTACTAAAAGAAAGAATTTATGAGGCAGAAGGTAAGGCCGGAGGTACAGAAGCCAAGGTTAGCGAATTAACAGAATCAAATTTAGAACTTACCGAGGAGCTAAATTTTCTCAAAGGTAATGATAGCGACACAAAGAAGATCAGCCTACTTGAGAAGCAGTTGAGGAAGCAAGAGATCCAATCGCAAAATGCCAAAGCTTCATCGCAAACAAATCAAGAACAGCAAAACATGCTGTACTCTGCAATATGTGATATGGAGACTTTAATTGAAGACCTAAAGTCAAAAGTTTCAAGAGCTGAAACTAAGACCGAGAGGGCAGAGGAACAATGTACATCGTTATCTGAAACCAAATTTGAGTTAAATAAAGAATTGAATTGCCTCAAGTCTAGAATGGAAGAGTTGGAGACATCTTTGGACCAAGTAAAAAACGTAAAACATAGGAATGCAAAAGAAATTAATTCAAGGACTGAGGTTATGATGGACATGGTTATACAGCTAACAATGGAGAGGGAGCACATGCAGAAGCAGGTACACATTTTTATGTCTTTTTTGTTTTTCTGAATCTGATTGGGCTTGTAGCTTTGAGTTATTGTGCTCTGCTCTTGATCTTCAAATGAGTTGACTAATTGAAAAAAGCATGAATCGCATAGTTTGTAAAGATTACTAATATCGTAATTAGCACATATTTTATTTATATTATTAATATCAATATCTGAAGAAAAAATTAAAATAGAGTAAAATATATGGGAATGATATATATATATTTCTTATAATATATATTCTCTGGTTAGTGGGTATCTTCAAAAAGGGTTTTCCATTGGTTTGATATTTATATATATATATGTACACACACATATACAACATTTCTTTTTCGAAATCCAACGACACTAACAAGAGAGAAAAAACGGCCACAAGCAGGATAATAATTATTTAATACTTGGATTAGTTTTTATTGGAAAACTAAAAAGGCAGTAATTGAATATTTGATAATAAAGGGTGCACTTCATCAACAGCCACCATATTCAGCTTCAAATAATCCTTTGCAGTAATGAAATTCTGTACACACTCAGTCACAGTGGCGGCAGAGGTAGATGCAGATGTGGCTGCCCCAGCACAGTCCTCTACTTTGCCAGGCACGCCAGATGTGACAACGCGATTAACGTAGTCCATCTTGTGTGTCTACAAATCGTTTCAATACTCGGGACTATGTCTTTGAGAGTGGAAGCCAATGTCTTGAAATGTGCTTATAGCACTCATTTTCGTAGACATACAAATTGATGATATTACGAACATAGAGCTCAGCATAGTTATTGTACATTTCTCTCTCGTGCTTGTTGTTCCATAGCTTGACCTCCATCTGGGTACTCGAGTATATTTATATATTTTTATACATTTATGTGGCTAGATCAGAAAAAACAAAAATTTCTCGTATGGGTCTATACAGAAGATTGGAGAAGAGAATGGGACGCGCAAATATAAAAATACAGAGAACCTCAAAGAATTTGTTATTTTTTTCTTTATACAAAAACAGAAAATGAAATTATATATTTAAATCAATTGTAGAAGTACCACCTAGGCATTCTCAATGGTAGAAGTACTGTAGAAAGCAATCTAACAATTATCATTTATATAGTACTGTATATCCAACAAAAATAAGGCTTGTAATTTTAAATACAGTACTACAAGTCGGACAGATTTTAATAAGATATAATCCCTTTAAAAACTTTCAACAAAAATAATTTTGTTCATTTTCAAGTCATATGTGTCAAGCTACAAAAGACAAAATCATAGACCATATGAGTTAATATAATTCACTAGTATGTGTTGCTTCGGTGTATGAGGAGGAGTTGTTTGGCGCCTCTAAAGAGAGATAAAAGGAGGTGGTTGGAGCTTCAGCAAGGCATTAAGGAGGACAACGTGTCAGTCGTGTGTTGTTGAAGAGATGAAGTTGGCAGCACTATGCTCATAAAATGGAAAAAGTTATGCTAGAATGGAGAAGATTATGGGGGAAAAAAAGGTTTGGATTTGAGAAACATCATTTTCTCTGTTCCTTTTAGGCTATAAATAATCTGCTTTACCAACCAAAAGAGAAAAAAATTATCTTTCATTAATGGTGTCCAGGATTTTGTTATGTCAACATGGCTTCTTCAATCAAAGTTTGTAATAAAATGTAATCAACTGCCGCACCAGATCCTCAAGAGGCTCTTACCTACGAAAGAACTAAAGAAAAGCCTCCTCTGCCCCATTAAATCGCAAGTAAAATTCAATATACAGATAAACTTCATTCTAATCAAACAACAACTAAGAAAGCTATCACCATTACATTTTACCCCTAAATTAAATGTTCAAGCTCAAGCGATTAGTAGTAATTGACTTGAATAAGGAAGGGGTGTCACACATCAAAATCAAGGTCTCCCAAGTTGCAAAAATCACACCATGGAGATGTGGGATTGTCACATGTCTAGTACCATTAACTTATAATGGTTAAGCCTCTCTGTCAAGGATCTTGAGGCCACTTTAAGTTTATATTGCACATTCCTACTAATAGGAATCGCCATTTGCAACCCATGTCTTAACCTGGTTGGTGATAGAGTGACCACTTTCAAGTCCAAAAATGGTGATGTCATTACTTATATGATCAGATATCACCAAATTTATTCAGTAAACGCCAACCAATAGTTCACCTATCTCTATTCTAGCTTTAGATCGAGGCACACCAGTACCAATAGTTTTCTTGACCCTCCTAAGTTCATTTTTGCATTGAGATTGGCCTACTTAAGCCTCTATAACACAGTTTCCAGTTTTTATTCTCTTAGTGCCTACCATGTAAGTGTTGATACTTCCTTCATGAATAATTCTGAAGCTTCCCAGCATGTTTCTCAACCCATTGCTATTATGACCAACAAGTTTTTATTTTGAAGCTTCCTCCTAAGTTCATTTTCTTCTCAAAAAAAAAATATGTATGTGCCTATATATATATAGAGCTTCATTTGGTTGGTCTTCTACTTTGCATAATCATAACTCCATTAATAAATTCTCATTTCTCTCAATAAAATTTGCTAGTGGATTCAAGGAAAATATTAAGAACCAAAATCTTATTGCTATTAATGAGAGAAATAAAAAAAGTTTAAAAAACAAAACAAGAATAAAACAGTGAACATGAAAAGCTTACCATAAACAATGGTGATAACATTAAGCAATATTATGCTCCTTACTTTCGACGAAGCAAAAACAATATCCTTTTACAAGGAGAACGCTTGCCAAACAAAGACTTACAACTCAATCTTTGTTTCCAGTGAGATGGTATCCTAGAAGAAAAGGATGAAGAGACGAAATCAACGTCGATTTTATCACTAGTACCAAGTTTTGAGCTAAGAGCATTAAATTTTTTGGAACTTGTATGAGTATTTGGAATGTAAAAAGAAGAAGAAGAAGAAGACGATGACGATGAAGAGGGAGAATCATGGGAAGAAAAGGTTGTAAAACTAAGTCGCTTAGGAAATGAAGAGACCTTAATCATTGCGCCATTGGTGAGAACAACAGTTGGGCTCCAAATCCAAAACGATCTATACGGAGATGGAGCAGCCATGACTACTAACAAAGAGCGAGAACAGAGCTCTCTTTCTCCTTCGAGTTAAACTAACCACTCTTTTTCTGTGATAGACATAGCAGGTACAACCAATTCGATTGACGCATAAAATTAACTACCAAATAGGAATAGAACACCTAGGATGATAGTCCGAGTTCTACTTGTACGATGACGACGTGGCAAATTTCAGTTGGAGAATGATGTGAGTGAAGGTGTAGATACATGCACAGTGGAAATGGGACGG